CGGAGTGCAGTTGTTATATATATATATATATATATATATATAGATATATATCTTTTACTTGTATTCTAGATCTTGCGATTTTACCTCTTTACATATTGTTATAATTACATTTTCAGGAAGCATCATTTAATATGAAACTTCCAAGACGAAACATGATCGTGCAATTCACATGCAATTCCTGTGGTGGAAGAACGCAGCGTAGAGTCAATAGAGTTGCCTATGAACGTGGAACAGTGTTCGTTCAGGTATACCGTGAGCCTTTATGCTTTAGAGTGTCCATTGCTTTACATCAAATTATATTTGTTTTATGGGCATATAATTTATTATTTGTAGTTTCTCTGCCATAACCACTCAGCCGTGGCATCTAACACAAGTTTCATTTTACATATCAAACATAAATTTTTATTAAAAAATAAATATTTTATACTTTTCATTTCATATTCCTAAAAAATCATATAATAGATATATATATATTGATGCATGTTTAAGAACTGTTTTGTATTTTATTTACCAGGTGAAAATGCAATATATGCTGACTCTTAATAGTTTTTGGGTGGGCTTTAGTTTGGACAAATGCCATTCAATGTTTTTAATAAGGCATCTTATAGTTTGTGCTTTGATTCGAGCTGTTAAATTTTAAATGATTCTGCATGTAGAGCTACATGCTTTTGTCCACAGCTAATAAATTTCCTTACTATTGAGCTTTTTACCGCACTTACTGTATTTCTCTTTTAGATATATCAAATTTCCTTAATAATCCAAAATGATCTATGAGTAAACTTATCTGATGTCAGATGTCTCCAGTGTGCAGGATGCATGAAGAATCATAAGCTTGTGGACAACCTTGGTCTTGTGGTTGAGTATGACCTCCGAGAAAATCTTGATACAGATTTTGATGGCACTCTATAGGCAGGTGGCTTCCCGTCATAAGTTCTATAGCTAATTTGTATTTTTTTTTTGTTTCTGTTTTGACAAAAACTCATTATTCTAAAATTTTATATTGTATGGATGGTAGTAAATATATATGCATTAGTTCTTATTTTCTAATACCATTTTCCTTCCCTTTGGAGCAATTGTAATTAGAGGAAGGATAATTTGTATTTTGCTAAGATCATAGATTTTCCATGCTGCAGGAAAGGTAGCTAAAACACTCTTTTGTGAGTACCAAAAGAGCAATCGATTAACATAGGAGAAGCAATTTTAGCACCACGTGTAATATGCGATATTAAAGTTGTAAAAGTAAAGCATCTAAGAAGGATTACAACTTGAGAAAGGTTACAAAATTGATGAAATTATGTTCTTACGAAATTATTAATGAGGAAAAAGAATATCTCACCAAATTCGTACAACTTTTCTCAAAAGAAATTCAATGAAATATGCAAACTTTTCACATCAAATCTTCAAAGAGAACTAAATCGATCTTCTCTCAAAATCATTAAATACATTAACCCTAAAGAGAGAGCCAAAGAATTGTCAATGGCAATTTCCTTTAGAAGCTGCTCAAAGCAATCATTCTTCTAATTTAGGATGTGGAGGGGTTTAAGTCGTACCTATTCTAACTTCCTATGTTGAGACTAATTTTTAGTGTTTTTTTTGTTTTTCCATTTATTCTTAAACTTTTCATTAGGTCACTCCCCCGAATCTATAGTGAAAGAATTTCTTTATTTTTATTTTTTTCAATCTTTATTATATTGTCAATTCATTCTATTCATTGATCAACCATTGAAACCAGATCAATATCAACATTCATCTGCTTTGTTTTTTGTCGACCAAGCCACGCGAGTGAGGGAGAGGTGGCAGAGGATATAAGGAAAAAATATTTTTAATGGCCTAGCGCTGCAGCGCTACACGTAAAAAATCATATTTATTGTAGGACAGAGACACCAATGCCATGACGGCGGTTTCTGGCGTCATAGTGCTTTCAACCCTAGCGTTGCAGGGTTCACATGTACAGCGCCAAAGCGCTCTAATTCGACCAGCAATTCAAAATTTTATATTTTTCATTTTAAATGCTTTTCATATCTTTGGGTTTTTACACATTATTAGCATATCTATGACAATTCTTTTGTATGGCGTTGTCAGTTTGATGGTTGAAGTCGCTGATTGTTTGGGCAAAGTCATCGACTTGTTGGGTAAAATTATCAACTTGGTAAAGTTTTGGACTAGCTGGATGTAGTTTGGATGAAGCCTTGTGTTTGTGCTAGTATGTCTACCAATGCCTTTGACTAAATATTCTTTCGCAAGTTAAGTACATCTTGATCCGGGTGAGTTCACCATTTCAATTCTTTCATCCTGCCAAGTTGTCATGAATTGGGCTAACTTTGCTCTCTCTCTCTCTCTCTCTCTCCAGCTATATATATATCGATTTCCATATTTCTTTAGAGGGTAATTACAAAAGGAACAAGAGAATGAAAAAAATGTCTATTTTTGTTGTGACAGATTTGAGTTGAGTTTGATATATCTATTAATTTTTTATTAAAGATGAAATTTATAGCACACAAACTTTGAGAGTTTCTATGTGCTACTCTATAGATTGATGCTTTTGAAGACTTTGAGGGAGATTGTGCCCATCTAGAGAACTGATTTTGTAGCTCGTGAAGTTAAAACTAATTGGAAACATTACTTAGCTTTTAGCTTTTTGGTCGAACTGAGTTTTCTTGGTGACTTGGTAAAGGTGCTTGAAGTATCCGCAGAGTCGTCTTCATACTATTTTAGTTAAAGGCACACCTAATACTAGATCTTGGCTAGATATCTTGTAGAAATCGACCATCTTTAGAGGAACGCACTCTCTCTATAAATAAGCCAATTTGATTGCTGTGTCGAGTTCATACATAGCTACTTCATACATAATATCTAGAGAGGAGATTATTGATTTCGGTGGTATAAAATCTATTAGGAAATTAAGCTCGGCCCTCCATTGCAGAGCTTGAGAATGTACCAGGGACTTATGCTTTTTGTTCTAAGTAGAGTTTTCCTATATAATAAAAAGGAACTTGCGACCATTCAAAATAAATAAAAAATTATATTGATTTGAAATAAATAATAAAAAAAACGTTGATTTGACTACTGACCTCATTTCAAGTGTACGTGTGTCAAAGTGATATCTTGGGATTTGTCCCTCTTGAGGTGATAGAGTGATGCTTCATTTCTCATGAATTTTATTACAAATGTAATTGCAGCGACATCTTCTCTTCTTTTGCTTTCCTTATTCTTCTTTTTCTTTTGATTTTATCCAGATGAATGCAATGCAGCAGGGCTTCTTTGAGCCGTACTCTAAACTTTATGGAATTGAAATATAGATTTTCCTCATCGATCCCCAATCATAATGTTAAGTCACTATAAATGGAGCTTGGTGGTGTTGAAGATTTTGTGATTCGCGCTTTAGAAGAAGGCAAGTTTCAGAATACATTGAAGAACGATGAACTTTGTCTCATTTGCGACCAGTTTTGCCTAGAATTACAGCTCCTCTTTCTTCATTCTTCAACACTACGGCTAAGTGCCTAACTAGATTTTTCCGAACTATTTTGTTATCATAATTACATTCATAATTATCCCGTAAGAACAACGGGTCAAATTGAGCATAAATCTCTCTTTACATGTTCAAAGTAAGCATGGTTAAGATCACTTGATTTCTTCTCATTAACATTAATAAAGCCATAGGGTTGAAGAAAGTTGTTTATTGCCGGGGAAGGGGGGTGGAGGTTATTCTTTGTAAAGTATATGACCCATTAGTAAAGTTTCATCCATTGAGATGATGAGCTCATGCTTGTTTGATGAGTAGTTTGAGTTTATTTTATTTTATTTGAGCAAAGGAGTTGAATTGTGTAAAATATTTTTCAAACTTACCTATTAAGGTGGCTAGCCTATTCAGACAACCTTCACCGAGTATGCTGTGATCCTTTTTTTCTTATCACTGGTTTCTCTCTTATTGCTTAGTTTAATTATTTTCTACAAGGCTTCTAGTTTCCATGATTTTGGGCAAGATTCTTTCTTTATTTGAGCTTGGTCAACCTTTAGACATTGATTAGGGAGAATTTTTTGATGACACCGCTAATTCAAATGTGAGATCCTTGCAAAGAAGTAATAACATATTGAAAATGATTACGAGATAAAGAAGGTGAAAACTTTGCCAAGTTCTATTCAAGACCTTAAACAAATTGGCAAAATGAAAGATGAGATGGATTAATTGTCTTGAATTACAACATGTTTTTTTCATTAAACTCAAATCAATTGAGCAGAACTTTATTAAATATGTCGAGTAAGCCAATGAAAGAGTCAAAGAAGAAACATACTTAAAGCAGCATTTGGATTACGAGCTACTAATTTGCAAAATAAAGTAAGAATTTTAGAGAACTTGCTTGTTTAGTTTGAAGCGTAGTGAAAATAGCTCGTTGATTCTGTGTTATCTTTTGGGGAGCAAAACACTTAGTTAGACAATTTGGCAAAGTCAGTAAGCAAAAAAAACTTAGTCTTTCCTAGTCTGAGAAGATGCAGCTGATGAGCCCGTTTAACAATGGAAGAAATAGGAGCGAAAAATCATCATAATGTAAATAATGCATTTTTAAAAATTGACTTTTGATACACATCTTATATCACTATTTTATATGAAATATATACCTTTTTGTAATGAAATGAGTTCTTTGGACGTACTTGTCTTTTGTTCACTTGTTTTCTTCTTTTTTCTTTTTAATAATAATTAGAAGCAACTTATGATATCTTTTGTTGTAATGCTGTGAATACCAACATCAAACTTGTTGAGTGAAGATAGCAATATCTCTTATGCCTAAGTTATCTCACTTCCATAAAATATCTCTAGATAAATTCATCTTGGCCATTAATTGGCTTCAACTTTCCTTAAAGTCTTTTGTCTTTATGGGGTAACCACCTATTCTTGCCGACTAGAATGGATTGTTGTACTTCTTAATGAAAATCTAGTCCAAAAGGAGAAGAAGTATTCTTGGGCTGAACATTTTTATCTATTGGCACTAAGAATTTTTAGCATAGTACTTAATAAAATCTTGACAATTGATATTCTAGAATAGCTGGATAAAATTCTAGATTGTAAAAGTATAATAATTGAAATCTATTGACGTTGTTGTGTATGAATAAAGATTGAATAAAGACATCATTAAATAAGTTTGATGACAAATCTCACCTTATATACAATAATGACCAAACACAAATTAGAAATTCCCTTAGTACCAAAAATAATTTTACATGTTAAATTCTTTTTAATCGCAAATGCAATTGGATATTGAGTTCCTTCAGTAATGAGAGGTAAGCATCCAATTCTAGCACCGAATTTTGATGTCTCGAGCATTAATAAAACCATAACTAATCATGTAATGAGCAATTGTTGAAGTATGTTCTAATGATAAAAAAGTTTTTAATGTCAGTCAAATGAAAATTTCTTAGCACTCGTCACAAGAAATAAAGTTAAAATGTTTCTTTTATAAGATACATCTATTGGAAGTATAACTAGATTTGGGATGGTCACTCCATTTGACTGAGTACGTACTCTTCATATATATATATATATATATATATGCTTTGATCATTTGTTCAACTAATCCTGAAAGATGTCGACGATCTTTTATATTCCATCGTGACCATTGTCTTTATGAAAAGCATACTAATTCCTTGGTCTCTATTTGTGTGGTTCTGTATATAACGAAGGCATTTGATGGAAGTAGTCTTCATACCTGATTGCTTTCACTAGCTTAGTGTCATGATAGGTTCTATGTTAGTTTAACATTGGTGTTGTTGTGAGTTCCCATATTCATGATATCAAGATCTTGGTACCTCCTCCTGATTGTATTTTTTGACATTTATGTGGTTGGTGTGTTTTAACATTTTCTCTAATGTATTTGGTTGTTTTAGTCCTAATATGTATTTCAATGATCTTTATTTAATTTTCTAAGTGCATGCAACAAGGGTGTCTACGAGTTCCAGATCCTTGAATTTAATGCGGGTATAGTTGTGAGTTTCCATATTCGAGATATGGAGATCTTGGTACTTCCTCATGATTGTATTTTTATACATTTATGTCATTGTTGGCGTGTCTTAACATTTTTGCTAATGTATTTGGCAATTTTAGTCCTAATATATATTTTAATGATCTTTATTTAATTCCCTAGGTGCACACGACCAAGGTGTCTACAAATTCCAGATGCTTGCATTTAACATCTCATGTTAGAAGTTATTGATAATTTTTTGTGACAACTCTTCAAGTTCTTATCTAATTGCCAAAAGGGCTTGCGAGATCTTCAATAGCTTGGCACTAGCAAATTGAGGGATGAAGAGTTATTTGAACTTGGTGAATGATGTTATTGCTACCAATGAAAGGTTCGAGAATCACCTAAGATGTAATTACTTAGTACTTGTAAAGAATTAGTGGGATTTCAAGGTGTTGATGATGTTGATATTGATTAGGGAGGTTATTAACTCAATGTTCAGTGGAATCTAAGTCATTTAAAAAATTTGCTAAAGGTTTCACCTCTGAAATCGCCCTTCAGAATCAGGTAAGATTTCCTCTTCTTAGTTCATGGAGCAGTGAATTTTTGTACTATCTGGATATAGTTTTTACTCAGCGCTTGGGTTGAAGACAGTGTTCTGGTACGTGGTAGTTTCCTTCAAATGATTGAATCTGAAGATTAGGCTAGCATATATCTACCCTTGGAGTTGTTTTAGTAATGTGCTCGATATCTTCCTAGATCTTCCTCGTGATCCTTTCTTCCATCTTTACTAGTTTCTTGTTTGTCATGGAGTGTTGGTTGTCCATGTTCCCTAAAGAGTCTTTTCCCTGCTGTGCTCCTTGTGGTTTTTGACTTATGTTTCTCGGCATAACTCCATGCTCATTGTACCTTATAGTACATTTGATCCATTTTTATCCCTGAGTAATATCAAAACTATACTTCTAAGATTTGTAAAGCTCATAGAGCAAAAACAAGAGAGAGAGAGAGAGAGAGAGAGAGATTCTAAAGTGAGAATGTTTATTGATTTCATTTGGTACCCCCTTCTGCTTATATTTCTTTGTTCGGGGCTATGATTTTTGGTGCGACAGGAAAGCCTACTAAAACGTTAAGTAAATACATATATAACTACATTAGGTGTGTTTTCTTTGTAAGCGGTGTATTTTCTTTGTTCTGATGCCAGTCATCTCTTCATTAGCTCATACTACGCTCACCTGATAGATGTGGTGGGCTTCTGTTTGATTATAGTTCACCTTTAATTGAATTTATGGTCATTATGATTGAAGAATAGGCCATTGCATGCAGGTCAGAGGCCGCAATTCTGTTGAGGTTACCTATAGAGTGAAATTGGTAGAATGAATGGTGAACTAACATTAATAAATTCTAGTTTTATTTGATTTTTCTTCTTTGCTTGCGACATATTAAACTTGAAGATATGGTAATGGAAAAATGCAAACCGTGCCAGCATTTTTGTTCTTTTGGCTATGAGGAATGCCATTTTTACTGAGGTGCGTTGACGGCTGATGCATGGTGAATTGATGCAAATAGTATAGTTTAGTTTAGTTTCTTTTTGGTATTCTAGGAATCAGAAAGTTTATTTTATTCATTTCAATAATTTGATAATGAGTTTGAATTATGTTATATTTGATCTTTATCTTCTTGTGTGTGTATATATGTGTGAATTTATTTATTTATATTTTTTATATTAGTGAGATTTAGACTTGGTTAGAAAATATTAGGAATGACCTTTCTTTATTAGATTTAAACAATAATTTGACCTTTAATAAGACACAATGGAGAAGAAGGATTTATGTAGCCGACCCCACGTAGTGGGATAAAGGCTTGATGTTGTTGTTGTTTTTATTGTATATAAGTGAGATGTGCTTTATAATAGATCAATAAGTTGAATACAAAATTATGGCTTTGTTTTCTATCTCTCGCTGTCCATCTTTGAGTTCTGGTTTTCACTTCTAGTTTATCTTTCAAACTCTTTTCTTTCAAATTGATGATATAGTTTATCTCTTCCTTTGATAGAGATTGTTGAGTCATGGAATATTCGCGGCGGTAGAGTGATATAAAGTTTAGCGTCTTTGCTTTGCATGAAGATCTGGGACACAAATAAATAAAAGAGTAGGGTGTAGCATTCATAGAAGACTTCAAGATTTTTATATGGAAAATCCTGAAAAAGGGGAAAAATTATAGGACCTAGCCTAATTGAAATGATTCCACTAGTATTGGTGGTTGATAAAAATTGGCTTTTTGTATATAATACATAGTTGGAGAATGACATGATAGCTGCTCTTAAAATAGTGTTTCCCTGTTTATTTGATCAGTAGGATCATAGTCGGCGGGCGACAATGGCCGGAGAGATAGTAGTTGACGGGTGATGGTGGTCAGAAGTACTGTAGTTGGTGGACGATGGTGATTGGAGGGACCGTAGTCAGCGGGCGACAAAGTCGTAATGACCATAGTTGGTGGGTGATAGTGGTCAACAAGAACTACGGCGATGGCAACACTGGATGGAGGTTGAAAGAGAGCTCTTAAATTTCCTCCTTTTCTCCTCCCTCTCTTCACGTGAAGAATAAGAGGTTATTTATAGTTTTTGGGAGTGACACGTCTAGTAAATAGGGAGAAGATCAAGGGTAGGTTGTGAGTGTTCCATCGAACGACTGGTATTAGTTTCCTTGCCATAGAGTGTTTATCAAGTATTTAAGTGCCTTAATGATGTTAGAATTCAACAAATCTTGGGCTTGTTGATTCGTCTTGTCGAGCTGCTTGATTCTACTATAAGCATGCCATATTTGAATATTGTTTGGTTATCCAATTAAATGCTTTGAAGCTTCCAGAGTGTTTTGGTCCTTTGATTTGGGTTCATTTGAGCTCAGATTGAACTGAATTTGATG